AGAAAATCCAAGTTAAAGTTTATGCAAATGAAGACGAATCTTTATCAGATATAAAATCACCTTCATGGTCATGATTTCTATTGTGTTTTCTTCATGTAATTATTAATGAGTTTTCTAATGTAGCAAAAACCACTAGTCAACCTTGCTTCAACACTGATTACTGCCATAAGGCCATTTGCAGTCATATTCTCAGAAAACCCTAAAAACCATGATTAATTCATAAACCAAAAGCAAATAAAATGGCAAGGCAATGAAGCAGATCATCTGAGTAATATTATATGTTCTTAAGAAAAAGGTTTTTTCCAAATTTCAATTTTTTCCCTAGGACTAGAACTTCTTGCTTGAAAAAATCCATCCTTATAATCCCACTTATTTAATTCAGTTTTTYCTTTTTCTTTTTTCTTCCAATATAAGCTATTTATATTTCTGATCATCTGARACAATAACAACTACGTACAGCTGTTAACATTTTAGCTTTCACATATTATTCTCAATATTCCCCTCAGTCACTAACATGTTCACAGAAAGCTATACTAGTTATCGTAATAATATGTAAACTTGTAGTAACGCAATGTTTAAAATTATAAGCAACTCCTAAACCTACGATAGATCGTTGATACGGTGTTCACTGAAGTGAGAAAAATAAGATTCACTGAAGTCACTGAATAAAAGGAATCGAATTATGATGAGGTGACTATGAATTTGCATGTCTTGCAAGGACAAGTTACAGTTAAAGCTAGGGAAAAAGGCATGAAGTTTATATGCTTTAAGGGAGATATTTATATGCAGAAGATTTTCAAAAAACACGGCAATACAGTTTAAATATTGTCCGTTCACAAAAAGCTGCTTTTGGTTGTTTTAATATATGCTAAATATATTTAAAAACACCATTAGAACAGTAACATATTAACTAAAATATTGTATTGTTTGCCTTAAACATTGAATGTATTTTTTATATAATTCCCTATCTAGTCTTAGGAATCACAGCCATGGCTCCTCACAGTCCAAATACTGATCATTTAGCTGCTTATTTAGCAATGATTAATGCATCTTTTATAAAGTTTTATCAAAATAAGAGCAGATCAGAAAATCAAGAACACGGAGCGACAGAAAAGTTGACGTTTTCCCGCTTTCGCTTTCGATTCCCTCTAAAATATTTCATAAAATAAAAGAATAAACATGTCCAATACATTTTCACTTACATCAATTGGACGCTTTTCTTCCATTTCCATAGGCAATATGAAGTATTTTAGCAGTACTGAATGCAGAAACACTTTCCTAGACAAACAATGGGTACCTCCTTACTTGGCTTCCTTTTTGTTGGATGGGGTTCCTGTGTTTCATTTAGCCGAGCCTATCGATTCAGCGCCTGGTATAAAGACTCTGGGGAAATCGGATTTCTTATTCCCTTTTGCCTTTTGCAGCCGTTCTCAGTGTCGGTCCGTGTAACGCTACTGAGCGACACTAAGAACGACTGCTGAGGAGACTAGCATTAACGGGGTATTCACTTTTTTGTCAAATGAAAGCCAGTGAAAATCCCAGTCTATGGAGAAATGGCGGACTGGTTGAGCTCCCTGGTTCCCGAGGAAGACGTGGCCCGGAAGACGTGGGAATATCAGGTAGAGGCAAACTCACAAACTGATAAACTAATTAATTTTGGCATTTTTCATTACCTAAAATTAGATCGAAAATTTCTTAATAATTATGCAGTTGGTTATAGTCATTTTAGTATTCCGAATATTTCAGATTACCTTAATTTTAAACTTCAAATTTTCCGATTGTTGGCGGGAAATACGATGGTCATCAACGTCGCTGAATTGATCTTTTAAAGTGCCTCTAGTGCCTGATYACAGACCAATTTAGAACAAATCCTCACATTGTCATAAACGCGTTTTTCAATTTTTTTTTCTCGTTTCAAACGAATTCCTGATTTTTTACGGCACGAAAAAGTTGGCAAAATTCTCGTGCCCACTCCTCTCGAAATTTCTCATTCAGTACCGCGTCCGAGAAGCCTGAAAAATTGTATAGACTTACGTTATCGGGGTGCTACACCATTTTTTTTTTGTGGGTCGAGAGTGCTGTTTTTAAAAGTTTCAAGAAAGAAAATATGCCGAAATATTGAGCTTTTACTTATTGTACGAGTTAATCCAACTTGGAAGAATGCGCAAGTCTTTCACTTTTGGAACGTATCACCCCGATGACGTATCGCACCAGTCCCCCTTACCCGCGGTCCTTATATGAAAAGGCGCGTTTTCAAAACTCATTTAAAAATCAGGAATGCATCCAATTTCGAAAAAAATTTGGATTTTCGCATTTGAATGAATATATCTTCAACTTACATAAGGTCTGTGATTAGGCATTAGGGGCACTTTAGGATTTTCAATATTTAAGAGAGAAGCAGACTGTTTTGATTGACATGCGACATTTTTATAATACCCAAGAAGCTTAACTAAGTGTCCTTGAGCAAACATTAAAGGGATAATTAACTTTTAAAATAACTCGAAATGTGCTCATTGTAGCGTCATACCCACGCACAGCAAATTTGATTACCGCGACTTGACCTTTGTCGAGTGTTTCCCTCTTAGTTTTGAGATACGGTCTTTGTTAATTAGTGAGTGTATACAAAAAGGAAAGTTGCTAGCATTAAATGAGGCGGGCAACAACGCTGTCCGTGTCGCTGCGAGCGTTTTGACATATCATGGCAGTCATTTAATGTCAGTACAAAGATGTACAAAGCTCTTTATTAGTTTTACGAAAGATGAAGCTCCTACACACCTATCGCCATCCACAGGCTTTAATATACCTTCTTGTATTCTTTAGTATGGATTTTCTCGCTGTTCGCAGCACAAGATCAAAGCTTTTCCTTGGTGGGATGTTCTCTCACGGGAGTCACCATGCGATTGATTCACTGCAGCTTGTGTGTGAGAATGCATTGGAGATTGTGAATAATCGTACTGATATACTACCAGAATACCAGCTTTATTTGCTACCCAACGATACTAAGGTAAATACGATAGCATACCGACTTTGACAGCTATCCCGAGTCTGAAGTTAGCTCGTACGAGAGAACCATACCATCTAGGTTGACTTGCTCGCACCCCAGGCGAAACAGTACTATAACGTAGATGGCAAATGCATTTTTTAATTAGAAGGTACCAAATTATTGATCAAACTGTTTCACTTAAAGTTGTTAATAGTATCACATTGAAGATTAACTATTTAATATTCTTGCTGATTTTTGACAATACTTATTGCAATCAGTTTGTAAAGTTTGCTCTTATGACTCGGTGTTATCCAATGAGTCCTTTAATCTCATGAGATGGTTCTCTATCTACAGGAGCTTATACTGATCAGCTTTAGATAATTCATATAGTTCATATATGGTGGATCAAAACTTGATTATCCGTATTGCAAATGCGTCACAAATAACGCCCCACCTAATCCATTTTTTTATTTACAAGTGGCGTAGGTAATCCAGAATCCAATTCAATTCAGTACTAAAGAGCCCATTCGTGCTTCAAAAACGGAACCATCTTTGCAAACGATTTCAATAACTTTGGAATGTTACGCATGTTGATTTGTGTTTGAATTGTCAACATACAAAAATTTCATCGTGAAAAAGCAAAGCCCCCTGTTGTTTTGCTTGAAAACGTAAAGGTTACCTTGTGTAAAAGTTTGTTTAAGTTCAACACTGTCAGAACGCGAACTGTTCAGTTTGTAGTGTTTGGTTTTAACTGTGTCTGTGATTTGGACATTTCATATTTCATCAACAAATATTGTGAATGAGCATGTTGAGTGAACGAAAATTCTTGAGTACTTTGTCACGGTCGACTCAGACATCTTCTTTAAACCGGATTTGTAGTAAATACCAATTACAGAAACCTATAATGGAAACCTTTTACTAAGGCATAAATAAGATGTTGCATGAGAAGATATTTTTTGAGACGGGCCTATAAGASGAAGGAATAATTTAGCGTTTGAAGAAGAGAAGTTAAATGAAGATAATCATGATGGTGAAGATGACATCAATTTGGAGAAGATACCAATTAATTACAGAAACCTTTAATGAAACCCTTACGAAGGCATAAAAAGATGTTGTATGAGAAGTAGTAATTTTGGAGACGGTGTCTGCAAGAGTAAGGGAGAAGTTGGCGGTTGAAGAAGAAGAAAATGAATAAAATGATAATGGTGATTGACATCAATGATGATATTGTAGGGAATAAAAAACAGGAACAAAAACTTTGTTAGAGACTAAGAATGAAAGAAAGAAAAAAGTGAAAAAGACAAAGAACTATTTCATTGTTGCTGTGGCCAAAAATCCAAAACATACTGTCATAGGAGGAATAGTTTGCAAAATTGGAAGTCTATTAAACAACCCGATTGTTTGTATGTGGATTAAAACTATGCAAATAAAGAGCTGGGTTGATAGAAATTACTTTGACATATGCAATCACAATTTAATAGATTTTCTGTGAACATGCCACCATTTTACCAATCTCTAAGTACGCCGATCAGACAGCAAGCCATTAAGAATCGGTTCCGACCTGAAATGCATAATCAGGGCCAACATTTATAGATATTGCGCTGTGCCAGGTACTGCCAACATAACGTTGATTTTCTTTGCTTTTTTTAGTGCGACGAAGCTTACGGTACACAGGTGTTGTTTGAGTACATCTTGCGAAGACCTCCTATAATAATGCTCTTTGGAGCTGGATGCTCATCTGTGACCCGATCTGTGGCCCAAACAGCTTGGCAGTGGAACTTAGTTCAAGTAGGTAGAGTGGGAATAAAGTTTGCAAGTAATATTTCAAAGCCGAGAATGAGGACTGGACGGGATTTCAAGTCCAATCAATTAGTACCAGTGCGAGGCGAAGCCGACTGACTGAATTTCCTTTCACATGACTTTACCAGGTTTCAAGTAACATCATGTGACCCAAAAATAGCCCATTGATTGGCTGGTTTCCTCATGAATTATTAATGAGCATGAGAAGGGAAGGGAACGTATATTTGTAATAGACCCCTTGCATGTGACGTCAAATAAGCTCAATTTGGAGGACAAAACAAAAGAATGAATAAGCTGCAATTGCGACGTGCTGCAAGGGGTCTATAAAAGCGACCATTTCTCTTTATAGGTTTCATATGCATCTACATCCAGTGAGCTCTCAAATCACGATCGCTATCCACTATTGTACAGAGTAGTGGCACCGCAGTCTACCTATAATGCAGCAAGTCTGAAGTTTTTTGAGTTGTACAAGTGGAATAGAATAGCTACGCTGGTTCAAAATGAACGTGAGTTTAACGAGGTGAGACCAACATTCGGTTCAAATTCACTTGAGTTTCGGTACTCAATCTTGGATTCTAGATAGTCCATGATACGGATTGCATGTCAGCATTCGTTCTCTGCATTACGGGTTCTCCACCATGCACACTGGAAAAATCGTACGCCTTCCAAATATTGGAAATAGACCAAACATGGAAAAGATCATGACATATTTTGATTGTTCATTATTGTGGCTTTACTATTAATGTGACAGAATTGACCTTTTTATTTGATAGTTTGTGTTTTACTATATTTTGCTTTTTATCGAACAAAGATGATGGCTGAATTACACCAGGAACTAGCAAAACAAAACTTCACCATTGTTGCTTCTGAAAGCTTTACCACAGACTCTAAAAGTGAAATCAGAGCACTCAAGGTAATACATTTTCTGGAATGTTTTTCTACCTGGCAGTTTTGACAATGGCAGGGTTTTCCATTAAACGTCGGGTACTTTTTGTGGTTGACTGAATTCTCCTTTTTGTTTTAGGAAAAAGATGCTCGTATAATAGCGGGTATGTTCCACGAAGATAAAGCAAGGCAAGTGTTCTGTGAGGTAAGTCAGGAGGCTTAATCCTAAAGCTTTGCTCYTGAAGTTGTAACACGCTCAGTAGTTATAGCAAGCGTGTACGATCGCATGCTATGATACTACTGTACTTGCAAATATGCATGTTATCAACAGCAACGTCGTCACCATTATTATCATAAGGCAACGACTTGATTTATAAGACTAGGACAAACCGATGAGCCAGCACATCACATATTTTCCCCATCTGTGTGGGGGTCCTTCCTACATCAGATCCGCCCATGTTTTGCTACACAGCTTTCGTTCACAACTGCAGTCATAAGCATCCCACGTATGTCAACAGTTATATACAGTTATCACATGATCATTACCCCCATCCATAAGCTTAACAAAACTACCATGTCATCTTAAACAATATCGTGAGCATAATTCAGACGCTGATGTGTTTTTTCCGTCCCAAGGCATACAAGCTTGGAATGTATGGTGCCAAGTACGTATGGCTTCTACTCGACTGGTATGACAACCATAAATGGTGGTTGAAGAACGACCAACAAGTTGATTGTACACAAGACCAACTGACACGTGCTACAAGCGGCTACTTCTCTTTTGAACATTTGAACCCTGTGACCAATGGCAAACCTGGTATATCTGGTCTGGTAAGTGGTTGAGCAAATATGTATACAATGGATGCTGCTTCTTTTTAAAAGAATCTTGATAATACAATTGTGACGGAATGTATTGTTCCTTAAGTGTCCATTTGTGTTTTGTTGGTGTCCCTCGGGGCAGGGGTTGTGGCGCGACTATTTAAGAGCGGGGCCATGTGCTTGGGAAAAAACGAGGAGCTCGAAGTAAGTAGAGCGGCCGAAAGGATCTATTGAAAAGTTAGGACATTCACGTTCTTGGGTAAACTGGACGATCTCTTACTGAACAAAACTATAGTAGAGAAAAGGTGAAACTAAAGCTATTAAAGAAAAAGAGTAACAAAGAAACAAGTTGTTACACAATTAAGATCAATGGCCCTTTTTTAATCGATCATTCTGATCTGCATTATTGTCGTCCACAGGGACCTAAAACTAAAACATTGATCTTCAATTGTTGGTATTTCTAGACAATTCAAGACATAAGGAACATATTTAGTACTTCCAATCCATACGCCCCATTTGCCTTTGATGCAGTCTGGGTCATGGCCCTCTCGTTGCACAAAGCGGCAGAGAAACTTCATCTAGAAAACATGACTCTTGATAGCTTTACTTACGAGAATAAAGAAATAGCAAAGATTATTCGAACTTCAGTTCAGGACATGTCATTCCAAGGTGTCACGGTAAGCCAGTAACATGATTCGTTGATGATAGACAGAGAGCTAGTTAGCGTTCTACATATTAGTTTGTACTTCAGTTATCATGGGAGCGTATTTTACTGCTTCCTGCACGGAGACATTTACTCTGATATTGAAAGCTCATGCAAGCTTCAAGGAATTAGTGTGAGGTATAACTGAGGATCAAGTAAGGCTCCTCTCGCTTTGCGCAAGTACTATCCGCCACAGAGCAGTTTCCGTTTGACTGTGAAAACCTCACGGCACGAGCACGGTCGTGACACAGCAAGGCATACGTCAGACCAATCACATTACGCGAGAATTTACTCTCCATCCACAATCAAATGCCCGAAACACGGCATAAACACGGCGTTGATACAGTCACACCAAGGTCACGGAACTGCCAGACCAATCACATTGCCCGAGAAAAAAAATTCCCCAATCAAAATTTTAAGAAATATCATGGTCACGGCAAGGCACGCATACAGCACCGACTTTTTCACAGTCATACGAAAACTGTTCTAGAAGCCATGCTCGTGACCGTAACAATGTCTTTGCATGAGGTTTCTGTATACACCAAATTGAAAATACGTTTTCGGAGTGAAAAGGTTAAAACATCGACGCTAAGACCGAGGGGTGTTTTGGGTGAAAACTGACAAAGCTGCTTCGTTTGGTTACTCGAACCAATGTTCAAGAACTGCAATATGCATGTTATTAGTGACATTAACTGTTTACCCAGAACACCCTTCGGCCTTAGCTTTCATGACAGAACTTAATAAAGTAAAAGTCCTTAATTCTTCTCCATTGACACTAATTTGTTTGTCGCGATCAGGGCCATATAAAGTTCAATAAGCAAGGTGACAGAGTTGGTCCTGTTCGGCTTAAACAACTTCAAAGTAAGACGATATGCAATTTTTGTAAAATTGTCAACCACATCAAGATCAAGGATACGTTCACAGGATTCTCCATCTTCAATTTAACCTTTTTCTATGATTCGTCAYTTTTACTTGTTTATGATCACAAGGGAAACAAGCCCTATCCTAGGAGTGAAAATGAACCATTCCTTTACGTCTTTGTATAGTTACCCCTTCTCTTGTGTCATTCACGAATCTCTATTTGCAGATGGAGTACATTTAACAGTAGCAGTTTATGAACCAAGTATTAAAAGCATCACTAAAAACAACACATCCAAGGTTATGTGGCAAGGTGGGTCACTCTCATGATAACCGCGCGCAATTAGTTACTCATGGTCAATTTCATTACATTGGTAGCACAGGGAAAGGGGGCAAATCTTGAGGATCCAGAGCAATGCCCCAACACACCCTTGAAAAGTTTAAAATTGAGGCTCTCGCATTCCAGTGCAGCAGTTAATGTTAAGCCTTCGCGGTCCCTGTAGCACAACAATTTCCGCAGCTAAAGCTAAGCCTCTAGACCCGTACATTCGTTTGCTTCTACGAGTACCATAGTTTATACAACAATTTTGCAAACATCACTAGCACTCATCATCTGCAACTTTCCTGCTCCAGGTTCAGGCCCTCCTTCTGACACCCCGCACATTGCTTACCAAACAGAATACATCGCATGGAGTCTGTTCTGGTTTATCATCACAGTGACATCATGTGGTATCTTGTTGTCCCTGCTGTTCCTCGCCTTTAACATTAAGTATCGTCATAACAGGTAAGATTGCCTAACAGCCAACGTTTTGCTGTGGTTAGGGGTGTACATACTCATACACACTTGAATTGTATTATAATATCGACTTACTCAATGATTCGGAACGCGTTTAGAAAAGTAAGAGGACCAGAAGGTAAATGTGCCATACCTGATCTTCTTCACGAGCCACGTAAACACGTGCAAACACAAGCTAAAGTGTTCAAGTAAAGTTTCCACCGAATGAACAAATTATGACGCAAGCACAAGCCAGCTTTGCGCCATTGAAACTAGGAATCTATTATGACAAAGCAAAGACATTATCTTTCATATCTTCCCAGTTATATCAAGTCTTCAAGCCCTTGTTTGAACAATGTGATCATAGTAGGAGCGCTCCTTATCTATGCTTCGGTGTTTTCAATACTGTTAGACAGTCGTGTCCTGAGTGGAAAGTTGTTGCCTTATATGTGCACAGTAAGTACCAATAGTCTCGTATATAAGGTGTCAAATCTCCATGATTCCTGGACATGCTATATCAGGAACACATCCTATCGTCATTTCATCCGACAAAATTGTTTGTCCGCCCTCGTTCATTAGCTCCAGTCCTTCTCAAGTTCTTCTCGAGTTCTTCTCCCTTTCTGGCTTCACTCCCAATAACCGCTTCCATCTTTTCCTTCTATTATGTCACTAAGATATATAACATTTGCACTCGTACAGCTACTGTTTCATGAGTCAAGCAAAAAGATATAATATTAGTTTGAATTCATGTTACTTCAGATTACAGTGTTTCTACTTGGGATTGGCTACAGTCTGATGTTTGGAGCCATGTTTACGAAGACATGGAGGGTCCACCAAGTACTCAACAAAGCTTATTCCAAGCAAAAGGTGTGTTTTTGTTAGAGGATTACTATTGGAATAACATTTATGATAGGAGCAAAAGTCCAGGCTTTGGTCAATTTTGTTCAACACCCCATGGAAGAATTGACGCCATTGCCACCATGTTGGTACGTTGAGTTCAACTACAGATTTGGCTTCTTTTATAACACTGTAACGACCAACATTCTGTCACATCTTGGGTCCTTTTATTTTCGTAGGAAGGATTGCACGCCACTTATATCGAGAATACTTTCTAATTACTGGTCTACTTTTTAAATGGCCGACTCTAATTTGACCATTTCAGATGTTTGGATGCAGTGAGCTGATTGGCCTGGTTCTTATATTACTAGTGATTGATGTCATTGTGTTTAGCCTATGGACAGCACTGGATCCATTCACCCTCAATATGAAAACCACGACTCGAAAGGTAAGTAAAAACCGTTGATGCCAAGCTGATAAAAAAGCGAAGCGCAATGTTTTCTCCTTTTTACGACCACGTGTCATTCCCTTGAGAAAAAATATTCTATAACTACGGGTAATTCTTGGTAAGATACGAGCATAGTGATTTACCCTAAGCTAAGAGATCACAGCGTGTATGAGACACAGACCTACGCGGCAAGCCATCGCACACCATGACCCCCGAGGAGATTCTACACGATGATGATGATGATGAAGAGATCACACAACCTAGGTCTACAGTTTTAAAACAATGCACCCAAGCTGAAAAGGCGTATTCATCAGTGTTGATGCTGTCTGATGTAACCGCATGTGTTTGGGCATGTTTAAAACAATAATATCCTTCTACCCTCAGGTACACAGCCACAGTTCCGAAGCGATCTTTTTTCAGTACGAGTGCTGTCACTCCCAGTCCATGACCACGTGGTATTACGTCATATTTGGCTACAAAGGTTTCATGCTATTGGTTGGATGCTTTGTTGCCTGGGAGACGCGTAAAGTCAAGGTCAAGTCACTAAACGATTCCCATTTCATCTGTACGAGTATTTTTACCATCGTTTTCGCTGTGTTCATCGGAGTACCGCTGACCTTCCTGATCCCGGACCATAGGGACGCCCACGTGACTGTTTTGGCCTTGTGCTTAATTCTGCCAACGACCATATCTTTGTGCCTAATCTTTGTTCCAAAGGTAAAAGTAACTGGAAACGTATTGAGCTCGCATCTTTTGATACGCTTGATTCGTAACAGTGCAGCGCCYAAAAAATTTGATTGGAGAAAAACCTCGTGTCATGATTGGTTCAAAGTATGTTGTCAATTCGTACCGTAACCGTGTTATGATTTTTGATGTTTGACTTTACGTAGGTTTACGGTCTGAAAGTGTCTACATTTACTATGCGTTCAGCATGACCTTTTGGAGCATGTTGCTTAGTCTTTCAGTTGTTTCTTAACCATCAGATTGGCAAAATGAAGAAACATCCAGAAGAATTCCTTCAACTAAAGTCTCTCACAGTTATGCGTGCTGCTAAGGAATACAGCAATCGTTCCGCACAGCGCTCATCCAATGATGCTCTCAATGCCACCATACAGCGTCTACAGGTTGACTTGGCGAAGGTCAAAAAGGAACTCAGGGATCAAAAAGCTCTAAACGCAACTGTGCGACCGGTCGATAAAAACAGGTTAGTAAGGTGCAACCTAATCCCCAAACCAGGCAAACATCTGCAACTGATGCAAGGCAACGTATGGTAGTCCTTAAATCATTACATTAGATTAAATATTTTCATCCCTCAGCAAAGATCAATTTCAATAAACAATTCAACATGAATAACAAAGATCAATTTCAATTCTAATTGGATCTATCAGTAGCCTTATCAAGTGTGTTGCAAAACCTGTTAATAGTTTTTCCTTCCAACCCTAAAGTGGTAAATCCGATTCGATTTAAATTCAAGTTAAGTTTCCAAAGATCAAACAACTTAAACGCGAAGGCATGTGCTAACATGAAAAAAATTCAACGAGAATGACTTTAGATATATCTACGCCAGAACTGAAATTTTAACAATTTTAACAAAGACTAAAAGTAAAATCAGAATGCTTGGCCCTTCGTCCGCACCGTAAAGAGACGAATGGACTGCAAAAGAACTTCTGTCTGCTACACTGTATTTGTTCTACAAAATCCAAGATTATTTCCATTATTGAAATGGACATAACAGTATAAAACCATAACAAGGTTTACCTTTCGCATACTGGTCTAAACGTCTACATTTTCTAAACTAAGCCCACCCCCTCTCCCTACTTTTTAGGGCGCTCCATGGTCCTTGCTTCACCACTACATGACTCACCCGGACTGCGAACGCTGAGCAAATTCATACTAAAGATGCTTGTTGTTTAAAGTTTTAAATGATAATATTTTTAAAATGATCAACTTTCATATCTTACAGGTTCGATGTAGACAGTGTTGATAACAGTGTTGATAACACGCCAAGATGTACAAGGAAACCTCTTGCCATACGATCAAATACGTGTTTTAACATCAAAGAAGATTCAAAGTCCCACCAAACAAATCAACACAGAAGATGCAACACCTTCTCAGAGGCCTATCTACCTAATGGCCACATGACACACGACAGTCACGTGGAAGATCTAAAGGTGGAAAACGAAAGCCTGAGACATCGACTGCGCCAGTCTAAGATAATCGAGGCAGGAAAGATGTGCAAGGTGTTGTATGAAAATGCTGAACTGAACAGGTAAGTGAGTCGTAGAAAAACAATAAACCTAATCCAGTGTTTTCCCATTTCACGGACTTACCACGTGTCAGTCCCTTGAGTATCATTTCTTTCTTCTGAGTGACATATAAATATGTATCAGTATACGAAATGGGAAAATGTTAAGCCCAAGTTGGTCCATTCAGGAGGGTTGTACCTATTCCTTAAGCGAAGCTAACACGCACGCCAGCCTTTTTTATCTACTTTTATGATTAAGTGACACTGACCAACATTCCCGACTAGTATTTAGGTCTCCCCAAGCAAGGTACCAACGCTCTTACTTGCTATTTTGATCCAAGAAAGCCAAAGGCCAAAAACAATGGTTTTAATTTTGGGGACGTTTTCTAGGTAGAATATATATGTGTCAGCATGAGAAGTTCATTTTAGTTGTTCTGGCGGTATTCATGATTTTTGACCTTAAAGGCCTTCATAACAACCCTAATCTAAGATAAGAGAACCTAGTAGCAAAATACTAACCAAACCATTCATTTTCTTAAAATTTTAAAAAAGAAGAATTTTTTTTTTGTAGAAAAATAGTTGAATTAAGCATGAAGCAAACTCCAAGCAGCGAGAATGACGCGGTGTCTCGCCTGATGAAAGAAAACAACGAGCTTAAAAGACAACTTGGAGAAGTGAGCATCCTCAATTCGGTCTGGTGTGATGTGACTCCCAAGTTGAAACGAAAGGGAACTACAGAGAACAAGCACAAGAAAGACTTGAAAGAAGTAAGAAAAATAAAGTTTGTTGTTGCCGATGTTCTTCTGCATCACCACTTCAAATTACCACCATCTTCACCACCGCCAGCGCCACCTTCATTACCACTATCTTCACGACCACCATTTTCATGACCACCATCCTCATCAACGCCACCGTCACCGTCATCGCCATCACCATGACAACCACCAACACCCCCACCATTTGTTTTTAAGTCAGACTTTAGATAATCTAAAACTGAAGTTGAATGCATAAATGTACTGACTATAGATGTATATCTATTGAATGTTTTATAAGGACTCTCATATGTCTATTCATAGCTGCAGCATCTGTTGACAGTGGATCTGGGCGGTGGAAGGGCAAGTTCATTTGGTGCATCACACTCAAGGCGGCCGCCTACAATAGGACTTTCCCAGTCTTCACTCAACCTTCTCGACCCAAAGGAATCCCATCGAGAGGTTATAGGAGAGAGCCAAGAGAATGAAAAGAAAGCTGAAGACAATGATAAAGATGTTTTTGCTAGTGATAAGAAACTTAACAGTGAAACTAAGTGGGTGGAGGTTAATGGAGATGAAGCAAAACCGATTGACCAACATGATGAGGACCGAGTCAATGATGAGCAAATGCCGTTCAAGGAAGAAGTCAAAATAGAACTTGATCATAACAGCAACATTCGACAAGAAAACGAGTTATCGAAGCCAACTTTCCCAAGTGATGAACCAAGTTTGCTGTGTGCCGACAACAAAGGCTTTGAAGACGAGGAATCCGCCATACCTGAGACCAAGACAGATCATACAGATGATGCTACAGATATGTTTGTTCCTGATAAAACACAAGAAGTTGAACGTAAACCAGTAAAACAATTCGACAAAATATGGGCCGCTAATGAAAACAGTAATACCAGGGAACTGCTGAGAAAAGGTAAAGTGCGGCTACGATCACAGACAACTTATTCGACTTATGATGATGACGAAGACGATTATCGGCTGAGAAGAACCTTGAGTGCTGATTGTAATCCCAGATCAAAGCAAAATAACGATCCTCGCTCTCTGTCACCCAACAGAACTCGAACTGTCATAGGCAGTGATAACAGCGACTCAGAAGTCGATTCAGCGCAACTCTCGCCCCAGGATTACACGAAAGTTGGTGGTGGCGAAAGTACTGGAAGCGAGGAATGTTCCATAGAAAGAAAAAGGAAATCCAAGAGAGATAAAAAAACGAAGATCGAGAAAGTTGAAAAGACTTTCTTTGTGTAAAAAAAGAGAGGCAGTTGACAAAGCCATGGTAGCCATGTTGGGGGCATGAGAAAATATTACGTCCCGCCAAAATGGCCGCCGTGAGGTACTTTGTAAACGATGAATTGAGATATTTATATGCAACCATGTACAATGCTCTGTAAATAAATCACATGATCCTCATGTGATTTTCAATTATAAATAATCGAATTAAAATATAGCTGCATTGCTAAACATAAGATGTATTTTGAATTTTGCCTTTCGTTGATCTGAACGAAAGCTGGATTTTATTCTCGATTTACCTCTCAGAATGTAGTTTCTTGTACATGTTGTCTTATTTTTCCATTTTTCTATCGTTTAACGGACGTTTTCACTATATTTTTTTGTGCCAAAAACTCATCCATTAGCTCAAAAACTCTTTCAGATGGAATGAATTCCAATCCGTTGCTGAAATTTGTCATAAAATTTCGTACTTTCCATGTTGATTCTTGGTTTCACGGCTGAAAGAGCTTTCTCAAAATGTCTCCACCTTACTTCTTTCGCCTGGATGTCTTCCTCTAGTGCTGACAATGCGGCTTCTTTGCACACGGCAGCAATCTCCGCTCCGGAGTATCCCTCAGTCCTTTCGCCCAAGTCTTCGATTTTAACATCGTCACCACAGGGAGTCCGCTTTAGGTGAATTCTTATGATGTCTTCTCGAGTGTCCCAGTCAGGAAGAGGTACATAAATTACTCTGTCTAGTCTGCCAGGCCTCATGAGTGCCTTGTCAATCATATCTGGTCTATTGGTTGCTGCTATCAAGATCACATCTGAGACAAAAGACAAACAATAATCACAATTCAGGGATAGAGCACAGCAGAGCAGAGCAGAATAAAGAAAAGCAAGCGAATGTTTTTAAGTACCTTTGAGTGTTTCTACGCCATCTAATTCTGTCAAAAGTTGGGTTAGAACTCGGTCAGACACAGACGATCCATGGCCATCACCATCACTACCTCGCTGTACAGCAACAGCATCAATCTCGTCAAAGAATACAATGGAAGGAGCTGCAGCGCGCGCCTTGCGGAAAACCTGGTTAATACCAAAACCACAAAACAATACTGATTAGGATGGAATCACAGACATCATGGGAATATTATTGGAATCAAGGGTGGTGTGCGGCAGTACACTCGCCTCTTACCCCAGGACCGGTCTCAGTTTGGCACCACATGTGAGTAGAGTTTATAAGGTCTCTCCCGTGATTCGAGGTTTTTTCTTTTCTTCCCCCTCCCCCCCCCCC